GCAAACTGGGGCAACATGGCGGCCACAGCCAATCAGGGGCCTCAAAATGACCTTCAAACATTTGCTTTTTGTGCACTTGCTTTCAAACGGAGGAGCTAGCTGAGGTGGAAAATTTGAACCCGGAGAAATGCTCTTTCCCATGAGGCCAAGAAGCCGGCTCCCGACCACGCCATCGCGAAAAGCTAACTTTTTGAAAATGGCTGTTTCTACTGATTTTCAGAAATATTTTCGCTACCTAGGAGGGTGAAACGAATTTTCCGAAGCACTTCTGCACAGTCTTCAGAGTAGGTATTTCTGAATTGGATAGAAAAATGGTTCTAGAAACTGAAAACATGACCTTCAAAAAATCAATATTTTTGCCATTTTTCGTGGTACAAATGCGTCCTCCCTTAAAGATACTAGACTGGTTTCTGGGGGTGCCGTTCATGATCTCCTACTGTTTCACATCCACTCATGGTTTTCTTTAGCGGAAGATGGTGTAATTTTTCAGTTTAGAAGTTCGTAATATCTATTTATATGCTCCAAGTATAAGAAATTTTGAAACGTAACATATTTTACAGCCTCCCCCCCCCCCCTTTCTTCATGCGTGCTGCTGTTCTCGAGGCAGCCATGTCGCAATGTGTTTACAAGCGCCATCTACATTGATGCAAGCCATGCGATCAGACATCCTGTAAAAGGTAGAAGAGGACCAAAATACGAAGGCCTTGGCAAAGGAGCTAGGCCTCACAATGTCAATGTGCACAATTTTTGAGGATATGCATATCGGTAAACTCTCCGATTTGAATGAGAGAGACTCAACTGTTGAGCCAACCACTTACAATAAGATAGTAGCAACTAAGGCCCGTGGTTTTAAAATTTTCTGACCCTCACATATTGTGTGCAAAGCGCACAATAGGTTCCTTTCGCCACAGTACTGTGGTGTAGAACTAAGCGAATAGCGAAATTTTGAGTGTGAAGTGAATTCGAATACTGAAGTAAGAGTGCCAATCAAATATAATATTTTTGTAATACTTCATAGTGAAATAGCAAAAAAATAACCGAACTGGGAAGTTATGAATATACTTCTCTTCAGCAAGTAATGCATAGAATGTAGTGAGAGTCGTCAGGCGCAAGTGGAAAACTCCTGCGAACACCCTCTGAAAAACCTATGTTTGTAAATACATTCTGTAGGGGGTTTCGAGGCTGCTCGGCCAAGAGCCCTGCAGGGAAGACGTGGAGCCAGACCAGGAACTTCCTTTATTCACCAGAACCTAGGCCGCAACCGCCTGCTGCAAGCCGCTCCCACGTGCCACTTTGCGCACACCCGATCCTCGTCTTCCTCTTCCTTCTGTCATTGGCAGGCTCGCGGCCGCCGCTCCTATAATTTTTACAATTATTCAATCTTATTGGAAGTCCCTTAGTTGTTGATGCAGACATTCTAAATTACACCATCTCCCTGAAGGGAACAACGGGTTGATGCGGGGCATTGCAGTTGTGCAGCATGAGCAGTCCGTTTTTTTCAATCAAGAAATTCGCTAGCAGACGCGGTTTGCGTCAGCTTTGCGCGACGCCGCGGATAGGAATGCCTAGAGGAGAGAGGGGAGCGAGCGTAGATTAGCAGACGGGCATTGCGAGGCAGGAGAGAGGAGCAATCGCAAGCAGGAGAGATGGAGTCGTGAATGCGTTGTGCGAGTACAGACACCGCACACGCGACATACCTGCGAGCGAGAAATGCTCGGCATTTAAAAACGTTGGAGAGGATTCCTAAGCACGTTGCTATCTCATATTTTTATGAGATAGCAACATGAAAGTGTGTTTTCCCTGGATTAAATAAACACTTGATGTTTAAAAGTTGTCTTATCAAGAATAAGGCAATGCAGAGGCCGAATTGTAGTATTTATGTACATGACTTGGTGCAACCAAAGTGTTACCAACAACACTTTACATGTGAAAGGCCAAAATGCTATTTTCTTAGCCTCTCCTCCGATTTCAACTTCTGTGGAAGCCGAACCAATGTGGCAGACAAGGATGTGCTTCCTTCAAGCCTAGAGTTTCGGATATGCCTCTTAGACGTCAATATAAAAGAACACCTGAAATCTTCTAAGCTAAAGATCTTCGGCATCTAACTTTCCGGATTTACTGCCCAAATTTCAGGTCCAAAACAGCATTGAGCCCCCACCTCTGCCACACCTATCATTTACACATTGGAAGCTGTGTTTTAGTGAATCAATTCATTTAAAGCTGCAAAAAAAAAAAGAAAAAGCTTAAAGGCAGCATTTCCACAATACGAGAGTGTGATGAGATGAAGCACATGAAAAAATATAAAGGGACAACTTTCAATCTGATGTTGATTGTATTTGCTTTTGGGAAACTTGACAGTTGAAAAACTACTTTGCCACAATACAAGAGTTTAATGAAGTGAAATATATTAAAATAATGAAGGGGCCACATCTAATCTGACTTTGAGGGCATTTGTTTTCGAGAAGTTTGAAAAGTCTCGAAGAGCGAAATTTCGATGTGAAATTGGAAGATATTCAAAATTTTAAATATTGGCACGCCTCTAGTCGTAATGCCTCTGATTCTGCACATGCGCCGCTTATTTACCAACCACTCGTCAAATCCAGCTATAACGAAGTCCGCAACAACAAAATTTCGGCTACAACGAATAATTTTCGATTCCCTGTCAGCTGCCCATAGAAAACAATGTAAAATATGTCTCATCACAACGAATATTTTTCCTGAATATTTCCACTTTAACCAAGTTTTCGTTGGTACTAACTTATAAGAAAAAGGAACTGGCGAAGGATTGCCGCAAAATTCCGCTACTGACTTGGTTATTTCTCGAGGGCTCATGGCATCCAAAGCTCATGGCTTTATCGGAGACACGCTTTCTGCCACCACATGCACATCCCGCTAAATTTATCGCCATCAAGATGCTTGGCGACAGCTCATCCATCCACCATGACAACAGAATTGCAATCAACAGGAGCCCCAGCCACATGTTCTTGACATCATGCTCAAAATAAAACTACCGCTCGTCGTCGCTAGCCGTGTGATCGTGAATGACAACCACGTGTCGTGAAGGGGCACACGCGAGCAGCATGCACGTTGTCCCCGCGTAACTGCGTTCTTCCGATATCGCTGCGAACTCAAATGCGGTCATATCGAATGCGATAATGGCCGATCACGAAAGTATATGCGCGCAGTCAATGCATATAGACTCAAGCCAATATTTCTTGCCATAACGATGCGGACGAAAATAGCAACAACGCAGTTTTAAGTCGCCGGCACGGCCAGCGCTGCACGCACGGATTCAAAACAGAATTACTGTTTGCTGCAATCACTGCGCAGGTAACTGCCACCGCTATCATCTAGTTCGTTGATAGTGAATACGATTCAAAGGTGCACAGCTAAAACAGCCGTTGATTAAAGGTAATAAAGCCATAAAACGACACTAAGTGTTACAACTTTCCTGTCGTTCACTTATGGCCGTGGTAATGCAGAGCTTCGTCACTTTCAATTGAAGTAATCAGTTGGCCTCTATTAAGCTTTGGCACGCTCATTCGCGACGCTGTGCACTCGTCGCCCCCCATGAGTAGTCTGAATATCATTTTCTTCTGTATAACCCACCCATGCATATAATCGGCATCCTCGACCGTAAACCGTGGGAGGCCTTGCGTATTGCAATAGGCCATTTTCTTTGCATTGCTGTGAAGCCGTTCCGTGAAGCCATTCTGTGAAGCCAACTGGCGCACTATAAATTTTTAAATACCCGCACCTCGGCTTAAGCTCCACATTTTCTGAACATTTTCATCGCGTTATATGCGAGAAAATAGGTTCACAAAGTGCCCAGCCAGGTACGGCCGGGTTAGCGAGAGTTAAATGTATGCGCTTGCTGGGCCCAAAGGACGCGTCATATTCATCAGATCTCACCAAATTTTGTGGTCTCTAGATGAAATTTTGCTACAACGAATTCTGCGACAACGAATTTTTTCACATGTCCCGTCATTTTCGTTGTAGCGGGATTTTACTGTACAAGTATAATCATCGACTGGCTAGAAATTTCGCTGGCAATTATTCAGAGCTGTTCATGATGTTGCTGCGGCACTAAAAGACAACAAATGAAAATGCACATCAGCTCCAATTTATTGCATACTAATTTACCAAGTTTTTTGCTGATAGGAATATTTTCTGTAACCCCGCGAGATTCATATCCTTAAAGTTTTACTATAGAGTTTTATTATTATCTCAGTGACTATAGCTTTCAACACTGTCGCTACTATGTGCCAATATTTCAGAAATGCAGTAAAGTCAAACTTCAATGCAGAGAGATAATTGAACTAATATAACCGATGGACAATGAAACAGAGAAAAATTTCGAGGACATTATTGCAGTTTTTAACGGTAGTAGAGTAACATCGCATATGAAAAGAAATCAAAGTTGGCGCAGTGGAAACCTAATCTATAACCTCTGGATACCATGTGCAATGCTCCATTAAGAGAGCATAATATAATCTACCAGAAAGAGTGATGCTTCAGCAGTTGTAAATATGTGAGTACCCAATAAATAAACCATAAGTGGTTCTGTTTGCAGACTTCGATGCAGATGTTAGGGTGAAACGTCACACGAATCCATGCTCGCACAAAGAACACATGCAGGACGGTCTATTCTTTGTGGATCATGCTTGTTACCATGTTTACAGTAGACTCTCAGTAAACGGAAATATGTTAAACAGAACCACTGCTTGAGCGGAACTATTGCCTCTTCAATGCTTGGTTTCGGGCTTGTATTCTGCAGCCTTGTTCACCTCTCAGTAAACGGAACTCCTGTTAAACGGAACATATTTTTCCGATCCCTTCAGGTTCCATTTACTGAGAGTCTACTGTATTTGCACTATCCCATGCCTAGGAATGATCTAAAAGTTGATTACACTTAGTACTTTCATCATTTTGTTTAAGTACTTGCCAGCCATTCATACCAATCAATCAAACTGGCTTTACTTAACACCATCAGTGCATACCGAGCAATGAGACAACGGGTGTTGCTGAGCTCGCCTCCTGTACGGGTGCTACGACACCAGTCGCTGGCTGCGCCTCTGCTTGCTGCACAACAGGTGCGGAAGCCATTGCAACAGCGACTGACACAGACACCGCTGAGGACATCGCAGTCGACACCGACGTAGAGGTTGCCGTAGTAGTGGGCGCTGCAGCAGCAGTTGCCAGAGTTGGCGCTGTCGATACTGCTGGACTCTGTACTTCCGCTGCACAAAGAGAGAGAGAAAGCACTACTAATCTCAAATCAAATGACTCATTGCATACAGTATAAGTGCATTTCACTGCCCATTTTACAGTATAGACGGCTTATAATGTAAGTTGTGGGAGTTGCGATATCCACACTATAAACGGTACCACACTATAACCAAAACAACTTTTTTCAAGAGCCACAACTGCACAAAATGTGTTGAGCAAAAGTCATGCGTGTCTGAGAATCGAACCATGCGATGTGTGGTGTTTACAACCTTTTAAATTTCCGAACGCTGAAAAAATTAGGGACCCTAAAGCTACACCTTTAGGGTCCGCTGCAAGACCCTAAAAGCTTTGTCCTTAGAGTGAGGAATTTCACAGAATTTACATCTGGAATTTCACGTGCTGAAAGACGCCAATCACTTTATTTCACAGGCAAGCACCCGATTTCAAGGTGCTGCAATCGAATCGCAAACCACCATTCAAGCTCTACACGTGCCAACCGCTTTTCATTAATGATTTGTATCCATTCCTATCAAGTGCCGCCACTGCAGAGAGTTTCGTTGATTTTGCACGAAATCGCAACTTAGGTAGCATGCAACCAACCCCGCAACCAACGCCGATTAGGCCTGACCTGCCATTCGGTGTGTTGTCGCGGGAAGTTCGTCAAAGACATCAAGGTCCGGGGCCAAAAAGACCGTAGTTAAGCACTGAACCAAGAAGAATGTGCGTGATGCGAAGTTCCTGTTCGTGGCTGGAAGATCAATGACAACGAAAACCTGCCAAACTAGACTACACACTCGTCGCAAAGACGAAATGTCCCGTCATAAAGCCATAAAAGGTTTTAAATATACGAACAAGGTAGCAAAAACGATATCTGTAGTGCTTGAGAAAACTTAAGCCTAGTTGATAAGGACGGTATCGCACATGCCATGTTGCGCCAAGTTCGTACAGGGCCATGCCTGCAACGTTAATCTGTCCCTGCCGGTTCAAAGTGTTATCCATCGCTGATACTTGGTGAGCCTGTGGAGTGTGCCATGGTCTTTTTTTCCTTTTCTTTTTCTTCCCTCTGTCTTTCGTTTGTTCACTTCATGTCCCCTTCTCCGTAACAACCTCGTCGCTCACTCCCCAGCGGCGCACCAACCGCACCTCTTTTCAGACATGTACTCACTTTTCTTGAAGGACTGCACAAGAAGTGGTATGCGTATACATGGGGTTCTATGGGAGAGTGAACGGGAGTCGAAAAAGACCAAATTGTAACTGGTTCTGCCCTATAAGCAGTTACGTTTTAAGTGGTCTACGCTGTATAAAGAAGCAGTTCTCAAAGTCTGAACGGGCAGAGACAGCTAATCTTGCAAGTTTTTTGTGAAGCTTCGTTGCACAATTCAGATGTGTATATCTGTGACAATGAAGACCCTGCAATTCTGTCAGGAAATTACATGTAATAACACACAGACAAAGAGAAATTTATTACAATCATGCTTACACATGAATATGTGGGATATGTGGCTACACAGACACATGGCTACGAGCATATGTGGCTTTATATAGGGTTTCCGCACTGCAGCTATCCCAGAACCGCCCAGGAAGGAGAACAAGACAACGGGAAGATACATATTTACTACATCGCGCCTGTGCTGCTACTGCAAGTGGCCGCTGCCTGCATGACAAAAGTGCACCCACGATCGTCGTCTTTTACGACGGCTCACAGACACCAAGCACCCTCATACTGGATGTGGGGTTGTGGGCTACGGCTAGCTCGGAACCCTTTAGGGAAGACACCGTTGAGGAATGAGAGACGAGGCGGCGGCAACGAGCCCCTGCCGAGGTCACAGCTTTTATTCGGGACGCAGGGGTAGGCGAAGTCGCCGCTGCAGTGTCCAGCCAGGCTTGGAGCTCAGCCGTTCTGATTTCCCCGTGGCTCGCGCATCACATGCCACGCGGCTCGCTTCCTTTTCGGCGTGGTCAGCTGGCCCAATCTACCGTGGCACTACATAGGCTCCCCCCCCCCCCCCCCAAGCGCTTTGCCCGATTTTAAGCAATTTTTTTTAGGCGGTACCTGCGCTAACGCGCAGGGACCGCCAAACGATGTAACATGTACCAAAGGAAAAAGCAAAAGAGACATACTAGGATACATGAGCGACAGTCCCTGGATTGCCCGTGGGAAACTCGGAGTCGTCATTAAAAAAAACGGGTCGCTAACAGTTCCAGTAGAAGACACTGAGAGCCGCGGAGTGGGCGAGCAGCGCCGAAGAGATGTGGGTAGCAGTGATACAACGCTTCGAGCCACTTGTGGCAACGGGCATCGATGACACCAGCGGTCACCACCGAGAAGACGGCTTAGTGAGGGCTATGCGGAGCTCGATGACGGCTCGTGCGGGTAGGCGCCATAAGTCATGCAAGATCGGTGCAGGCGCCAACGTTGGTGAGATGTTGATGCTGTCTAGGTGGGGTGCTGGCATGGGCACGCAGGCCGGAGGTAGCTGGAACACTGTGGAGGAGGTGGCAGGGAGGCGAGTTTAAGAGAGATGGGCTGGCGGTACGAGCTCGTGGTGTACCTGCATGGCATCGACGCTGGCACATCTTTGTCGCACCGACCTGCGCAGCACTGATGATAACAACTGTGTCATTGAATGTCCTGTGGGGAGTGCTGATCGGTTTCAAGCCCTTCAACGCTGTCCCCACAAATGTTCGGCAGCAAGTCGGCATCCACAGCAGACTTGGGCTGTGCCATAATATCAGACGGCGCATATGTGGTTACGGGACCACCTTGTTCAGCCGGCACAGGAGAACTTAGGTGTGAGACTGCATGCTGACCATATGCTTGCGTCGCCGGTAGACCCCGATCGGTTCGCTTCACCGCAGGCAAAACTGGAGGGTCATGTGCAGTCGTTGCCATGCTGCTGGTGTGGAAGATGGCAGCTGGTTCGGTTACGGTGCCACACGTGGTGTCGGTGAACAGGTGACAGGTAGCGCTGGTTTGGGTGTCGCACACTGCGTCAGTAGGCGCTGAAGTCGTCGTGTTCACCGATGTGTCCACAGGCGCCGACCGGTCACCCAAAGGCCAACCTTCGGGGGTCGTATGCTGTGATACATCAGTGGAGTCGGTTGTCGTACGACGGTCACCTATCTCATTGTTGTGGCATAGCGCTGGACGATATGCGGACGAGGGGAACCGCGAGAAAGGCTTGATCAGTGTAGATGAATAAGCACCTTCCAAGCGGTCGGTCCCTTGTTGGAGGCATTGTTCAGCACTGCAAAACCATAAGACGGCGTCCCGTAATCCGCCATATGAGCGAGAGCTCCCAGAGAAATCGATGAGACGTCCTTTGAGGTCAGGTGAAGAAACATACTCCAGGGCCTCGAACATGAATTCTTGGAGCCAGATGCTGTTGAGCTTCAAGGCAGCCTCGAACTCTTGAAACCATGACTCGATGTCTGTAATGCGGAACAGTGGTAGAGGCGGGTCAAAGTGCAGCTGCAATGCTTGAGCTGGCTGGAACATGGCCGCGAAGCTCAGTGGCAGCGATGCAGCACCGGTCGCTTGTCCGTTGGTCTGTGGTCCCCATATGTTGAAGGAACAAGGGCCGAGACGGCGGCGACGAGCCCGTGCCGAGGTCACATCTTTTAATTCGGGACACAGGCTTAGGCGGAGTCGCTGCTGCAGCGTCTAGCCAGGCCTGGAGCTCAACCGTTCTGATTTCCCCGTGGCTCGCGCATCACATGCCATGCGGCTCACTTCTTTTTTGGCGTGACAAGCTGGCCAAATCTAGCGTGGCGCTACAGCTCGAAAACAGACCAGCAGCCATCTTCACTTTCCTGCGCCTCGGCCGCAACTGCCCGCTGCCAGTGGGTGCCGCGTGCCACAAGCGCACACACGATCATCGTTCTCCTTTTCACCTACGATAGGTGCACTCGCAGGCGCCGCTCCCATGACGGATACGTGATTACGGTATAGTACATCACTACGTGAATATTCCACTTGGTCATGGAATTGCGTACACACGAACACCACATTTAAAATAGTGCATACCCACAGAACTTATGCACGTGCGCTCTCTGCAAAGTTCTGCTCGCATATAATATGTAAAATAAGAAGCTATTGTGTACACAACCTACTTATGAACAAGTACATCCAGTAAAAAACTCTAGGCTTGTGCGAACAGTAAATTTTAGGTTCGAAGCAAATTTGAAGTCAATAGTGAATTTGGTTGAATAATTTCAAATCTAATTTGAACAGTACATATATCGCAAACCGTATTTCCTCGCGTAATGGACACACTTTGTTTCTCGAAAAATCGGAGCGAATTCGGGGGTGCGTTATGTGAGGCAAATTTTATGAAAACTTTTTCGAGATGAGCAAGAAAATAAAAGTTAGAACACTTAGCTTTTGTCGCAATTGACATACCCGTACACTGTTTGAAAACGGCTTCTTTGTTGCATTTCACTCATATGCAGCAGTCGATGGCTCTACCTTCTGCAAGCTGTACCCGTGTTGCCGGTGCATGCCATAAAATCGTTTGCCGGCCATTTTTTCTGACAATCGTTTAACCGCAACAGTGTTATCTGCTGTGATCTCGTGGAGTACCCAGAAGCTTTCGCTACAACGCACTTTGAAACTTTGCGGCAACCTGTGAATGGCAATGTTGGTTACTTTCTACAATGTGAATGGCGTTGCCGTTCACATTGTAGCAAGTAACCAACATTGCAGCAAGCGACCCTCGAAGTATCAAAACAAATCGTCGATAACAAGATTAATGACAAAATACGCCTGCCACCTCGCTTCTACATGAAAAGTTCCTGTACATGCGGAGAACAAGCTAAGCAAGAATCGGGAGTTCTACTGTGTTGTGGAAATCGTCACGATCTTTTCTGGGCGACAAGCAATTTTTTCTGGTTATCCGGAAACCTGCGACGCGACAGCGACAAATGACCCTTCGCGGCAGCAAATCCTGTCATCATTGCTCGAAAATCACGTGCACATTGTTGGGACCTAAAATTTCGTATTTGCACAAAG